CGAAAACATCTTCAGACAGCGCTGGCTCTTCGGCTTTGAAACGGAGATGAGCACCACAACCCTAGAGTCAGATTCGACTGGCTTTCGAGCAAGGGAACCTTTACCTTTACCCTTAAGGGTCAACTGAAGCTCCCTGAATGTGGGAACCATTATGTTCTTCAACACCTCAGGCTTGCGACCAGCATTATCTGTGTCTTGTCTGGGTAAAATTCCAATTTGTTCACTTTTAGCCATTTAACCACAACAGTCAGGCAGAGCTCAAGATCTCTACTGATGCCAGGAGATTGGGATGGATAGATAGAGAGCCAATTGTCATCAGCATATTTATTGAAAGGTCACTCCAAAACCATTAATGGTTGCCTAAGTGCTTTACATAGAGATGGAATAGCATGGGGGTGACTGAGCCCTGGGGTGCTGCCCAAGGCATGTGCCACACTGATTATTACCAGTCTCCAACTATGTACCCTCTGAGACCTGCCCTTAAGGAACAATTTAAGCCAATCCAACCCACATCCCTACCTCCAAATGTCTTAGCAAGATGGCATGATTCACAGTATGAATAGCAACTGATAAATCCAATAGTAACATCTACATTCAGATGGACAGTCAGTGATTAAGGCCAGCAACAACTTCACCATACTGTGGCCAGGCCCGAAACCCTAGTGAAAGTGATATAGAGCTGGTGAGGTATCCAGGAAGACCTGGAGTTGTTCTGCAACTGAACTCTTTATTATCTTGCCCAAGAAGGGCAAATTTGGAGATGAGGTGATAATAGTTCACATCATTCTCCTCCAGTGATGGCATTGTAGAATCATAGAGTCACAAAGTTGGAAGGGGACATACAAGCCATCTAGTCCAATCCCCTGCTCAGTGCCGGATCAGCCCAAAGTACCCCTGACAAGTGTTTGTACACCTGCTGCTTAAAGACTGCTGGTGAGGGGGACACCCCTGACAAGTGTTTGTACAGCTGCTGCTTAAAGACTGCTGGTGAGGGGGAGCTCGCCATCTCTCTCTAGGCAGCTGATTCCACTGTTGAACAACTCTTACTGTAAAAAGGTTTTCCCTAAGATCCAGCCAGTACCTTCCTGCCCTTAATTTAAACCCATTATTGCGAGTCCTATCCTCTGCTGTCAACAGGAACAGCTCCTTGCCCTCCTCTAAATGACAGCCCTTCAAATACTTAAAGAGAGCAATCATGTCTCCTCTCACCCTTCTCTTCTCCAGACTGAACATCCCCATGTCCTTCAGCCTTTCCTCATAGGTCTTGGTCTCCAGGCCCCTGATCATCCTCACTGGTCTCCTCTGCACCCACTCCATTATGTCCACATCCTTTTTGATGTGAGGTCTCCAGAACAGCACACACTACACCAGGTGCAGCCTGACCTATGCAGTGCACAGCAGGACTATGACATCTTATGATTTGGATGTTATGCCTCTGTTGATACACCCCAAGATTGCATTAGCCTTTTTTGTTGCTGCATCACACTGGCTGCTCATATTTAACTTACAATCCACCTGTACTCCAAGATGTTGTTCACACACACTGTCTGCTACCCAGAAGTGTATCCCCCATCCAGTATGTGTGTTCCTCATTTTTTTTACCCAGATGTCGAACTTGGCAGGTAGTGGGCTTGGATGACTGCCTATATTTGTGATTGAGGAAAGGTCTCTTGAGTCAGTAATTGATTTGTGATTGATATCAGGACTATGATTTCAGTAGCCAGGACCGAAAAGGATTCAAAGTACAAATATTGACGTTCAAAGATCTCAGAGTCCTGCTAGCATCCATTGGGGTATCTGGATCAAAATAATCCATAAATGGACCAGATGGTGCAATGGGCATTTCTAGTGTTACAGCTGTGTTATATCAGGAGTTTTAGGTTGGTTCCACCCAGCATTTTGGCTGGTGGAAATGGAAGGAGAGGCAGATGTAAAGATCCAGGGACCTGTGCGGACAATCCAGGTTGGACAGGGGCTGCAGTAAGAGAACAGCTGAGCAAGACTGAGTAAAAAACTGTCTGGAACCAAGCCCATTTAATTAACTAGTTGTCATAGAATAACCATGTTGAGGTTTTTCTTAAGTGATTTTTTACAAGGAAAATCTTATAAATATGCGTTGTTGTTGTTTTTAATCTAAGACTTGCTGTAGTCATTCTACCCTGCTGCAAGCACACAGTGATACAAGTATCAATCATAACAAGCATGCAAACAGAAATGGTCACGGACGATGGAAGTACATAGTTCAAATAATGAAATCTGTGTATTCCCAGTCTCTCAAGACTTTATATGGTGAAATGACGGTTCACCCCACAGTGAACTTGTGTAACTAATTACTTCTTTGGAAGAGAAATTCAGAGCTGCTAACAGTCAGAGGACATCATAGAGAGGTAGATTTGAGTGTAGGGAGAGAAGATGACACTCATTTTATTTTTCCTTTTGCTCACAATCATTAAACAATGTCTGCACAACTATTTTTTTTCTTCCGAAAGAATCAATGGTTTCAATTAGAAGCATCTTTCTGCGTATGAAATTCATGATCGTGTGGTTTGTTTGCACCCTTATGAAATTAAGTGTGGCCTATATATAACAAGTTGCAAAGCTAAAGTGGGAAAATGCTTGTCTTCATCTCAATTATATTAACAAGCAATCTGCAAATGATGCTGGAACTCATAGACTCAGGTTTGCACAAGCGAGACTCCATGACCGGAAATTAATCTGAAACAATTCTGAGAGTTCTCTATCCAGGGCGATGCTACCCCCAAGGTGAGAAGTTGGACTTTTTCTCTCTCTTTTAAAGAAGATTCTGTCTCTGGGATCTGTAACTAATCAAAGCAGTGGTACTGAGATAAGAGGTGCTTAAGCCATTCCTGTGGGCTACTGCACCTGTCTAAATCACAGCCCTTCACTAATATGAGTTATTTTTGATTTTTATTAGTTATACTTTTATTAGCTATACTTGTCTTTCATTTCATTTTGATTTCATTACCTCTCAAGAACCATCAGTGGGTTCAACACATGGGTGAAATTAATCCTCTTTTCCAGAATTTTCCGGGGGGGGGGGGTTTCATCAGACGATATAAAACCAAACAATTTCTAAGGAAAAGAAAATATTTCTTTATGTTAATAATTCATCATAGGTGATTTAGCCAGTGTTGGGTTACCCTAAATTGTACAAATTAAGCAAAACTTGGGTGGGATATACCCTACACTATTGAAGAACTCCCAGTCATTTTATTTTATTTTTATTTTATTTTTATACTTTTTTACAATGCACATAATACAATAAACATAACCAGGAAAAACAGAGAGGTGTGGATTACAGCAAGATGAGAATTATAACAATTGAAATAATACACTTTATAAATGTAACATGACAATCCCAGCTTTTAACCGTATTTACTATATTAACTCTATGTTGATTCTTTACTCTGTGGTTACTCTGGTGGACCAATTGGACCTTAGTGTGCGGTGTTTGGGGCTAATGTGATAGAGACCAAACAATTGTGTTACATTAGTTGGAGGATTGGGATTTTTGTCACATATTGGTTTTGTTTGTTTGGAACATTTGAACAAACATATGACTAAATAAGCTGATTCCCAGAATAGGTCCACTGTCTCACTTTCATAGACATGACAGGGGACCTATATATAAAATGAAAAGTTGCATTATTTAATTCTTTCTTTTTGTGATCAGTTCCCTATTGTTAAGTTCAGGCCTTAGGACAATAATGTAACATTTAGGGGAGAAAATACAACCCAGTAATGCTGCACTTGAAGCGAAGATAGAGAAGATTTCCACAGCTACCATGTACTTCCCTTTGGTGCTCAGATAGGCTGGAATAAAAGATACCCAAACACTACAAAAGATCAGCATGCTGAAGGTGATAAACTTGGCTTCATTAAAACTGTCTGGCAACTTCCTGGCTAGGAAAGCCACAGTCAAGCTGATGAGGGACAGAAGTCCCATGTAGCCTAGCACAATATAAAACATAAAAGAACTTTCATTACATTCTGCTACGATCTCTTCAGTAATTGACTGTTTGTCCAAATCTGGAAATGGGGGAGATGTTCCTAACCACACAATACAAATGCTTGTCTGAATAAGAGAACAGGAAAGAATGATGGTGTTGGCCACTCGCTTTCCTATCCACTTCCTCATCCTGGATCCAGGTTGGGTGGCCATGAAAGCTACAACCACAGTGACAGTTTTGGCCAAGACACAAGAAACAGCCAGTGAGAAGACAATTCCAAAGGCAGATTGTTGGAGCAAGCAGGTCACCATCCTAGGTTGTCCAATAAACAGCAAAGAACAGAGGAAGCAGAGGAGAAGGGAGATGAGGAGAGTGTAGGTGATATTGCGGTTGTTGGCTTTGACTATGGGAGTATCTTTGTGTTTAATGAAAATTCCCTGAACCAAAGCGGTGATCACAGCACAAGAGACTGCCAGAGAGGCTAAACTGATCCCCAGTGGTTCTCCATAAGTCAGAAAGCTTACCATCTTGGGAAAACACTGATCTTGGTCTTTGTTTGGATAGTGATCATCTGAGCACACAATGCAGTCATCCATGTCTGTGAAGGAAGGAAGAGGAGCACTCTATAAATCCATTATTTTTGCCAAATTTCTTTTGTATCCTCAACATTGGAGTATGTTGGAAACCTACTTGCATGACTTACCTAGACCTGGCTATTAACTACTGTTCAATGGCACCTGCACTATGAAAGCCAATGTGGTGGAGTGGTTGCATTTTCAGAGTAGTCTGGAAGACTCAGGTCTTGGATCTGCCATGAAAGCTTGCTAGGTGGCCCTCAGGCAGGCACACATTCTCAGTCTAACCTCTCTCAGAGGATTGTTTTAAAGATAAAATGCAGGGTTACAGTTATGGTTAGGGTTAGTGGTTGGTGTTTAGAGTTATGAATTACGGATTAGGGTTAGTGCAGATGATTTAAGATGCTTTGTGACCATATTGGGGAAGAAAGTGGGGTATAAATAGAAGTGAATAAATAATGAGCATAGCAAATGATAGGGGGCAGATATAATGTAGATTGGTTAGCAGGTGGGGAAGAGAGAAGGAAGCAGGGACAGGTGAGGATGTGTAGGATTCCGGGAAGAGGGGGGGGAAGTAGTGCAGAGAAGGAGAGAAGGAGAAATTAGGTCCTTGCAGGTTCCCCATCTTGCAACTGGGTCCAGCCTGGAGGCCAGCACTGTACATCTGGGCCCCAGATTTCTCAGGCGGATGTTGCCAGAGGGACAGCTGAAGATGGGGGCTAAAGGTATGTTGGCAGGTAGGTTGGCAGGAAGCAGGACAAAGAGAAAGGGTTCTAGGAGGGAAAAAGAATATGGCAGGGGAGGGGAAATGAGATGCACCCACAAATCCTTGCAGGTCCACCATATGTATCCTCAAACTGCCAAAGACTGTTTTAACTGATGCATAGGAATGCTTAAGCACCCACTAGTTCATCTCCCAGGCTACTCAACAGATAGCAATCCTTTAGTGAGTCAGCAGGCTTCCCCCGTGCATCTCTTGCCTGACTGCCCTGTGTTCTCACCACTGGCTAGACAGGTCCCCTTTCACCTCCTTCTCTCTGCCACAGCTGACTGATCAACAGCTGCTTGAAGCTGGTTCTAGTAAGGTAGGGAGATGGGAGATGCAGTCCGTGAGTTCTCATGGTGGTTGAGCATTCATCAGCTTTTCCACCAGCAAACTAGGGAGGAGAGCCCACATTTAGCAACCAGAAATGTTTTGCCAGGCACTGAGGGATCTGTGGGCTTCAATGAGGAAGTGAATGGGGGTATAAGCAAGCGGAAAAAATATATCTGGCAGGATCCAGATTTTCATTTCTGCATGTTGCCTTGAAGCAACTATTGAAAAGGCCACTATTCATGCACTGATTTTTGCACACAGTTCCAAGGAATCATGAATTCCCTTTTGCATATGCTGGTGTCTTTCTCACTTTTGCATGCATACAATTTGTGATCCTGACTCACTGCCCAACCAAGCACATTATGGCCCATTTTAATTTTTTCCTCTGTCCCCAAAGGCTGACAGATCGCATATTATGACCCACATCTGACAACACTGAAGAACATGGGATCACTACCTTAAGAAGTGGTTAGAAGCACATTGTAATAATAGGAGAATGGAGAATGGTCATCAGGCCTGCATCTCAACAACATTAGATACTGTGCTGTCATTTCACCAGTGCAATTATTTGCAAGTGGATTGGCATGTCCACACTGGATACTCCAGTTGTAAATGATGGCTATTGTGTAGTGAAAGTGAAAGATCCATTTATATGTGGATAAAGCCCTGAAAGCCAGGGACTTTAGTACACTAGATCACCCACCCTTCTGGTTTGAGATCTTTCCTTTTGGACATGGAGCACAATCATAGCAGCAAAATTTCTCCCCTTCCCTCTTCTTCTTGTGATAACCAGGGGGACAGTAGTCATTACACACAGAAGTGGGTGGCACCTGTCAACATTTTGAATGGAGTTCAGCAGAGAAATTATTTGATGACTGATTAGATTATTCATAAACGTGTTTGCTATTGAAATGAACTACCACAGAATATTATGCATGCAACAATCTGCTATACATTGATATTGGGTTAGAGCCAATCAGATCTTTTGCTGGTAAGAAAGAGAGGAGGGGGTCTTGATTAACTACCCAAAAGACTGTGCTAGGTGACCTCCATGAACACATAATCCACACAAGGACCACATTAAGGATTTCCATCATAACTCAGGGCACCTTCCTTTGGCCAATGAAAGAGGCAGTTATACATCCACAACTTTTAAAAAATCTATGGAAAAATGATATAACCAGTTATTTTCTAGTCTTTAAACTGCCCTTTCTGGGCAAAGTGATTGAGAGAGCAGTGATGGGTAAACTGCAGGCCTTCTTGGAAAATTCATCTGGTTTCAGGCTGGGCTATGAGACAGAGACGTCTCTGGCTTTAGCTGATGATCTCTGTTTGTTGATCCTTGTGGTTTTATCTGTAGCTTTGAGACAGGAAAATATGCGGATTCCGGTTCCGGTGTGGCACTGGGAGGGGAGGTTTTCTCGGGAGCTCCTGAACCTCCCGATGCTTGGGCGTTCTTACAAAGCCCCCCGGGTCTCTGGGGGGGGGTGGCAGGGTCTCTCAGAGGGAGACCAAGCTGCAGGAGGCTTTTCCGGCCCCTCGCGTCCTCGGCAAGGACGGGGGTGTAGCCGGCTTGCCTCGAAGCGGGAGCGTCTGAGAAGCAGGGACATGGTCGCCATGTTCCCTGAATAGTGGCAGCCAGCCTTTTATCCTAAATGTTGTTTTTGTAAGAATCGATACATCACATTCAAGAGTTTATACCTGGTCGAAAGAGAAATTGGATTATTATACCCCTTTTGGACACTCCCTGCTCTATGGACAAATGGCCGTTAAAAACTTTATATGGGAGCTGAGAGCGACGGGACTTGATGGGGGTAAGAGAGAACTACGGTGTCTGCTGGAAGCATCATTATTATAATAATTATGACTTTTTTTGTGTGTGCGGCTGCGGTTGAAAGTTTTGTTCGTATTTAAAACCCCGGAAATGTACGTTGTTTAACTGAGAAGTTACGCGTGCTGTAAGGCTGGAGTGAAAAAAAATGGAGGCGATGGCTGTTAACGAGGAGATTGATCAAGATACAAAAATTTGTGAATTAATGTGGGAGCAATTTCAAAAAATATTGAAAGAAGAAGTGAGGCAAGCATGTAAAGCAGCCTGTGAGGATCTTTTGGAAAACTTTCCTAGTATAACTTCAGAGGAGAAGGACAATAAAGAACAAGTATGAGGAGAGCAAAGGCAGGGCGAAAAACAGGATGTAGAGCAAGAGAGAAAATCTTATGCTACAGAATCATCATATATAGAAAAGGAGGTGCAGGAGGTGGATACCCTTGAATATGTGTTGGAGAATACAAAAAAACCGAAACCAAAAAAGGGGGGAAAACCTTCTTGGAGGAAAAAGAAGCAGTTGTGGTGGGAAAAGAAGAAGCTAACAAGAGGGGAAAAATCAAAGAAAGATGTGAAGAAATTTAAAAGCACTGAATACTCAAGCGTGAATATAAAGGAATATGGGAAGGGATTCTTGGAAAAAGAACCACAGGAATACAAAAATCTATGACACCTAGAAGAAAACGGAAGAAACCAAGAGAAAAAGGAAATTGATTGTATTGTCATTGTAATGCTTGCCACCTGTCAGCTGCAATTTAAAAATTCTGCCTTGCTTACTGATGTTTAGAAAAATGCTTGCATTGCAAGGACAGAATATGGACTCATGACTTACTGTTGGTCCCATATTATATGTTAACTGAAAAAGAAAAGGAAATTTATGTTTGGTACTAAATATTATTATGTGTTAAATGGGTTTAGAATAGCAGGTTTATTACTTTGTTTTATGAATTAATTTAGTTATGGAATTTATGTTCAGGACTAGAGCAATGGTTTGTAGTCTGCCCTGCTTATTGATGTTAAGAACTTAAAAAGATAGGTGTATTGTAAGGACAGGATGTGGACTCATGAATTATTGTTGGCCCCTTATCATAAATTAATTGGAAAGGAAAATGGAATTTGTGTTTGATATTAAAAGTATTATTACGTGTTAAATGGGTTTAGAATAGTAGATTTGTTATTTTGCTGTAGGATTTAATTTAGCTAGGGAATTTAAGTCTAGGACCAAGCAAGGGTTGCATTGTAAAGATAGAGGGGGAATTTAAAATTAACTCTTGTTACCTTAATATAAAAAGAACTTTATGGTAGGTACTAGAAGTAACAGCAATTTAAATTGTTCAAGATTGGTGTGTACGTTATTTTGACAAATAAATTGATTTTGTTATGGAATTTGTAACAGGGATCTGAGTGGCAGGTAGTAATTATTTATGAATCAATTGGTGAATGAATTGGAGAGTGGTTATATGTAGGTTCTGGTAAGGATACGTCTTTGGTGTCGGTAGCTTTGCCTCAGACTATCTTCTGTATTAGGTTATGGAAAATCCAAAATATATTTATCTATAATCCAATTATATAACTAATGCGATGTATTGAGAAATTAATTGATGTAAGGATTTTTGTATGTCATTGTCTTATATGTTTGTATGTCAAGAAGCATAAAAACCCAATAAATATATATTTAAAAAGAAACAGGAAAATATGCCATCTTTGTGAGATATTTGGGGGCAGAAGTGGGAATCAGAGGATATGCTTTGGGCTGGTTTCTTACAGAATGGACTTTAAGGGTTGCAGATGGAGACCAGTGATAATCAGTGTGGGATTTGTCCTCTTGGGTTCCACAGGGAGCGACTAGTCTGATGTAAGGGTCTATCACATTGTTTAATAGATTGCATTGACCTAAACTTTGTAATCCACCTGGAGTCTCAGTGAGAAAGGTGGAGTAGTTCTAGTACTACTACTACTACTGCTAAATGAATCCTGCAAAGATACATCAGCTGGTTAGATCTCAAATTGCAGAACACCATCTACCAATCAAATATCTGATTTTGAATAACAACAACAACAACAACAATAATAGCCCTGTGGGATGGAGACTGCGATTAAGAAGTTAACTGAATGACTGAGTCCACCCATTGGTTTTCAGTTTCTTGCTTGTCAAAGAAATAAGCAGATGATGCAAAAATTGATTAATTAACCTGTAGTTGTCTAAAACAGTGAGAGGCCATGGTGGCTCAGAGGTTAAGACACTGAGCTGCAGACCCAAAGGTCTGTAGTTCAGCAGTTCAAGCCCCGAATGCCGCGTGACGGAGTGAGCA